ATATATATATGTATGTTATAATCATTTATGTTTTGTAAATTCTCTCACACTTGCATGTCTCTGAAACATTTGATGCAAAGCATGGACTTGTTTTCTGTTGAGAAAAGGATGTACGGTTCCTCATGGAGAGCTGGGGAGACAAACGTTTTAACTTCAGCTCATCCAGGAGTTGGTAACAAACAGAATAAAAGCAGATTAATCAGAGCGTTCCCCTCCCTTTGACAGACGTTTATTCCCAAACATCCACAYCACACATTACAGAAGTTACCAACCACTTTGTCAGACGATATAATCAGCACGCAGGCGAGGAAATGCAGCCGAGGCGGCGCGCTCGTTACTGTGTAATTACTCTGGGGTAAATTGCAGGTGGCACTCACAGCATTTTCTGTGTTTGGCTTTGGTGCGTTTGGCCAACGACACGATCTCATGGTGGGAAAACATCCTGGCCTTGTGTGTCAGCTCTCTGCAGGCTGCACAGAGAGGCTGGCTGCAAGTGTTGCAGTAGTACATCATACCTGTGTCCTGTAAAAACACACAGAAAACATTTCAAAAGTGACAATAAATATGTATTTTTTAAACTGATTTGATTTAAATAAACAAAAGATCTACAAGATTATAAATTAGAGGATGGCAATGCTCCATCACTAAACTAAGATGAATAAATTCTGCATATATTTTCAACAGGCAAGCTTTTTTAAAGATAAAAGTGGTAAATGAAACAGGAAATTAGCATCATTTTGCATAATACAACAAGGCAAAAGTATAAGAAATTCTAACAGCCTCCAACAAAAATAATATCCATTCTCCAAAGCTTGAAGACAGTTTAATTCAATATTTGTCTTTAATGACTCCATAAATACAGTCAAACAGTGAAAGACTACATGATTTCTAAGAATTCAGTTATATTTTTCTTTACTGTGAATGGCCAACAGAGCCCTGGACAAGATTTTATTTATGTTTTGTTGTTGTTTTTTTATGTATCTTTTTTATGCCTGTCTCTGATACCAGCTTGGTATTGGATTTGTTGACAGACCTGTCAAATAGCAGGTAAACCAGATTGTCTTTGTTGTTACACTTGTACCGATGTGTCTCTGTACCTTTTTGTTGCTTTCCTGGTCACAGTTGGCACACTGCACGGTCTCCTCAAGGTCTGTGTTATTGTCCACGAGAAACTTCAGCAGGCGGTCCTCTGGTGGGAGGATGTTGTTTCCTTTAATTATTGACTGATATCTGTAAATAAAAACAAATATTTTTAGGTATAAAAAATTTAAATTCTTGCACCCATCTTTTTGGATGAGCTGAAAATATGATGATATTTAAATGACTGAAATAGCACAAAAAAATGCAAAAATAATTAGAATGTATTACACGTACTTGTTTGTTTACTGTCTTAATTCTATATTTATTTTTACACCATTCTATTCTATCACCATTAACCTTTTTATATCCTGACACCATACAGAAACAATTGTATTTGCTACAATAACAATAAAGACATTCTGATTCTAATTCTGATTACAGAAAAATAAAAACCAAGCAACCTGTGAAAAGTCAACGTTTAATTAATAAATGTGTCGAATTTGATATATTATAATATGTTATAAATGCGAATAAAACAGGTTCAGAAAAGCCCTTTCATTTGCAATTTTCTTTAAAAAAAACTGAAATTAATTTGGTGCAGTTCTTAAAAACAACCTGATGGGGGCAGCAGAGATCAACAAACACCGCCATCACCGAAGAAGAAAATGCGGAAGTCCTTGTCAAACAAACGTGCATGCAGTGACGCTCGGCGGTTCTCTGGAATATTCTGGCCAGTGATATTTGTGTCCTTTTCTGCGCGTCTGAACAGTTTTATACACCGAAGATACAAAGCTTAAGATGTCTCTTATTTCCGAGGAAGATGTCCGCGGAGGAGGGAGCGTTTTCAGGGACATTAATGCGGACGAAGACTGGCAGCCCACAGAGATCGAAAGCCTGTGTATGAACTGCTACCAGAACGGTACGACACGCATGCTTCTGACTAAAATTCCGTTCTTCAAAGAAATCATCGTCAGCTCCTTCAGCTGCGCGAACTGCGGCTGGTCGAACACGGAGATCCAGTCGGCGGGCCGGATTCAGGACCAGGGCGTTTGTTACTCGCTGAAAGTCAAAACGAAACAGGACCTGAACCGGGAGGTCGTGAAAGCGGACAGCGCGACCGCCAAGATCCCCGAGCTGGATTTCGAAATCCCCGCTTTCACCCAGAAAGGCTCGCTGTCTACCATCGAGGGGCTTTTGGACCGAGCGGTCGCGGGTCTGGAGCAGGACCAGCCCGGCAGGAGGGCGGCGGACCCCGAGGTGGCGGACCGGATAGAGGAGTTCATCCAGAAACTGAAGAAGCTCAAAGAGGTCGAGGAAGAATTCACGCTGGTGATCGAGGACCCGTCTGGGAACAGTTTTGTGGAGAACCCCGTGGCCCCTCAAAGGGACGAGGCTCTCACGGTGACCCGGTTCAAGAGGACGGTCCAGCAGGATAAGCAGCTGGGGATACGGCCTGATGATGATGATGAGGAGGATGACCTGAGTGAAGACCCAGCTGGTAACGACCTGGAGACCATGAGGCAGGAGGTGCTGGTCTTCCCCACAAACTGCCCCGAGTGCAACGCCCCAGCCTCCACCAACATGAAGCTGGTCCGGATCCCCCACTTCAAGGAGGTGGTCATCATGGCCACCAACTGCGACAGCTGCGGCCACCGGACCAACGAGGTGAAGTCAGGCGGAGCCACCGAGGAGCTCGGCACCAGGATCACCCTCCACGTCACCGGGCCCTCGGACATGACCCGGGACCTGCTCAAGTCCGAGACCTGCTCCGTCCTCATCCCCGAGCTGGACTTCGAGCTGGGCATGGCCGCGCTCTGCGGGAAGTTCACCACCGTGGAGGGCCTCCTGAAAGACATCAAGGACCTGACCGTGTCCAAAAACCCCTTTGTCTGCGGGGACAGCAGCACCCCGGACCGGGTGGAGAAGCTGAGCGAGTTCGGCAAGAAGATCGACAGGATCATCGCGGGAGAACTGGACGCGCACCTCGTCCTAGACGATCCGGCCGGGAACAGCTTCGTGCAGAACGTTTACGCCCCAGATCCAGATCCCGAGATGACCGTGGAGAAGTACACCCGCTCCTTTGAGCAGAACGAAGAACTGGGCCTGAACGACATGAAGACTGAGAACTATCAGGAGGAGAACTGAACTGAACTGAACTGAAATGACCAAACCAGTGGAGATTTGGACCCAGTGTTACGTTGATCCATATTTTCACTTTAAACATGTTTTAAGTTAAAACTGGGTGATTAGTTGCTTCAAAAAGCTTGATCATTAAGCAGTAAAATAATTTTAAGTTGTCAGTGTGTTGTAAAACATGTCAAGAGAGAAACCTGATTTGTATATTTACATGGAAGCTGTGGTTAATAAAGAGAAACCTGTGCACTCTGTCGTTCCTGTCACTTTCCAGCAGATGGCGCTGTTTCCCTGCGGATGGAGGCGGTTTTATTTCCGAGGACCACACACTGTGGAACGAATTAATCTTTTTATACACTTCTGAGTCTGCCATAATCTAAATAATATAACATCTGACAGTGTAGCTCTGCTCTGGATGTAGCAGAAATCGACAAAAAGCTTAAGGATTGTGTTAGATTTTTTAATTGAATTGCTAATTCTCACCACATCAGTCTTTTATAGTCAGCGTTTAACGTGCTCGGAGCACTCCGGTACCTCGCTGTGCAGATTTATAAACCAGGTCCTACGTCGTCTTGATCTAATTATCACCCACCAGCAAAGTGTTTTTGCTTTGTGCATTTGTGCTGTTAGCAAAATATCCCTTGCTCTTAATGAAACTCGTAATTTCTCTTTAGGTGTCATTTAAAAACTTGGCATAAAAGCTGCAGCTTTTATTAAAAGAATGTGAGGCTTTATTTGAATTGTGCAGGTACTGATGATCATAGTTGCAGACTTAGTTTGAAAATAAAAAAAATATTCAAAACACCAAATTTTTGGCGTTTATTTTTCATAATAGATTATTCTCTGTCACATTAATCACATTTGCTCAGGCCTGTTGGGTTTAAATGCCCCACAATATACATCATTTTGATCTAGTTGCTCTGTTGCAATTGTTTCTCCTCTGCTGTATTTAGTTTTCATAATTGTGTTCTACTAATAGCAGAGAGCTAAACTGCCAGATTACACGGCTCTGGACTGAGCAGCTGTTGGCAGGATGTGGATGGAAATAGAAACAACCAGGCTGTATTATGAAACCATAAAGAGTACAGTGGCTTTACATTTGTTGGGTTATAACTCTCCAATTTTAGTGTTTATTTATTTTTATGAGATCTTTTATCTATTTGTTTTGTGTATAACAGATAAAATCCTTTTGCTTTGCCCTGCCGACCTGCATATGATGCACTTTTAAACAGGTAGAACTCAGACAGCAGTGAGGTGGTTACATGTTTATAGTGTCAAAAACACTCAAGTCAGCAACAAGAAACGGTGCAGTTAGATTAAAGTCGAGTTACATTGTGAAGCGTTGGAAAAACGGGAGAATTCACACATTATTACAAAACGAAACAGTCATTTTACTGCTGAAAGTCAGTAAGGATTCAGGGTAACACTTTACAATATGGGACACAAAAATTGCTTCATTACTGAGTAGTTACTAAGGTCACCTAAGAGGAACTACTCAGGAACTACTAAGTAGTTAAAAACAGTAATTACTGCTCAGTTACTGAGTAAGTAATGATTAGGTCCTCAGTAACTACTAGTTCTTGAGTAGTTCATCTTTGGTGCAAATAGTAACTACTCAGTAAACACTCAGTAGTTCCTCTTTGGTGTTCTTACTCAGTACTTTCTCAGTAGTTACTCAGTACTTTCTCAGTAGTTACTCAGTAGTTACTCAGTAGTTACTCAGTACTTTCTCAGTAGTTACTCAGTACTTTCTCAGTAGTTACTCAGTAGTTACTCAGTAATTACCCAGTACTCACTCAGTAGTTACTCAGTACTTTCTCAGTAGTTATTCAGCAGTTACTCAGTACTTACTCAGTACTCACTCAGTAGTTACTCAGTAGTTACTCAGTACTTACTCATTACTCACTCAGTAGTTATTCAGCAGTTACTCAGTAGTTAGTACTTACTCAGTAGTTACTCAGTACTTACTCAGTACTTACTCAATAGTTAGTACTTACTCAGTAGTTACTCAGTACTTACTCAGTACGTACTCAATAGTTACTCAGTACTTACTCAATAGTTACTCAGTACTTACTCAGTAGTTACTCAGTAGTTACTCAGTAGTTACTCAATAGTTACTCAGTACTTACTCAGTACTTATCAGTCGTTACTGAGTTGTTTCTCTGTAGTTAAGCAGGTTTTGTGTATCTTAGTGTAAAGTGTTACTGGATTCGGTTCTGTTAGACTCACCTTGGCTTTGAAAGCATTACTGTTGTGTGGAACACGTAGGAACAAACAAAATAATAGTTATGTAAAACTATTTATCAGTAGAGAAGAAAGAGTAAAAAATACATGATGATGCAAAACAAAACGCCACTTCTTTACATCTCATGTTTGATCAGGGAAAGTTGACACCCGAAGGTGGAATTAAACCGATCCGTGTCATGTGACTGGTTTTGATTACCCGAAGCTTCTGGCCCTGCTGCCAAATACCAGTACGCTTTGTTTGCAATGTGACTGGACTTAATGGAACTTTCAGGTCCTTTTCAGAGCTAGGGCCAAAGGCTAAATGAAAGTGGAGTGACTCTGCAGCTGCTGCAGCCATTCAGGCCCAACCTGACCTGGAGCAAAGCATCCTGTGTTAGAACGATGGGCCGTCCTAAAATCTGACGCAAAAATTCAAAAATACGCACAAATCGAATAATGAACTTGAATAAAATGTGTCCAGTGAAACCTGTGAGAGGTTCTAAAGCAAATGAAGWGTGTTTACGGAACACCAAAAGCATCACTACTTGACTTTGAGCTCAATGTTTTCACTTTGTTAAGGATTTGTGGATTAGCACCACGTATGATGTCGCGGCTCAGATTTCACAAGCCGGCCCACCGAGCTACAAAGCGCTGTCCCCTTACCCGCAGAGGGGGCAGCTGAGGCGGCAGTCGCTGGTGCGACCTCGCAGGCAGCGGGCGCAGAAGATGTGGTAGCAGTCCAATAAACACGGAGACTTGTACTGCTCGTGGCACAGGTGACACACCAGGGGGTGCACGGTCGCACAGTCCACGTCGCACAGGTTCCCCAAACTGGAGAAGATTCCTCCTGACATCTGAAGACAGACCGCATCAAAGATGGCAAACTGTCAATGTATGATGATTTTAGTGGCAAAAAAAATGCTGTTTTGCATTTTAAAAAAATGGATCATTTAAAGAGGCTAAGCCAGCAATACACAGATCCAAAAAGTGGGACATTAGTTAAAATAAACAAGCTTAACTTTATTTTTTAAATTTGCCTTACCTTGTCAGACATGTGTTACGTGCCTGCAGATTCAGTTTCAACAAACGGTCCAAGTATCAAAGCTATTCAGCATCAGCTTTACTGTTCACATCAACGTCAGATGGAACCAGACTTACTGTAAATGCAGTGGGCCGGTGTGTGGAAGGAACAGACAGCCTCTGTCTTACCTTTCAGTTGTGCTATCAGCCCCCCCACCCCAGCAGGAATGGCAGCAATGCAGAAACTCTTCAATAGTCGGCTGATGGGGTCTGTCCAGCGGGCAGCTGACAGCTCACACACCTCATGCCAGCCCCCCGAGTGCTGCCAGAGTTCAAAAGGGACATTTAATATTGCTGCCGCAAACGGTTTGGAAATACATTTGTTCTATTTCTAATGTCGTAGCGTCACTGCACCTTGGGCTCTAACARAGAGGAGCGAGATAAGGGGATAAAAATAAATTGAAGAAAATGTACTAAGACACGTTATAATAAATGTGTCATTGTTTCATGATAATTATAATTTCTAAAGAACATTTACTGCATAATACGACTACATCTCCCAAAACATGAGCTACTATATAATTTTTTTCATTGATTAATCAACATTTTTAGATTTTTGATGGTTTTAAATTAGAATTATGCAGTATCAAACTACAACCTTTGACCCGTAACAGCATTTTTGAGAAATTTTTCCAAGCCCCACTCTTTTCCATCATAACTGTTTGGTTGCCAAAGGTAAAAGTAGCAAGACTGGAGAGATTTTCTAAATGCTTGAAAACAAAGTTAAAAAATATTTATATTTTTTCAATTATAACAGTTAGTTA